AAAGCCGACGTACTGCTTCTTCCTGGACGTGAAAAAGGCATACGACACCGTATGGAGAAATGGGTTGTGGACTCAACTGTCCAAATACGGGATCAAGAGGACAATGTGGAGAGTGCTGAAGATGACAGAGGGTACGAAAAGCGCGGTCATGTTAGACGGAGAACTGTCAAAATTCTTCGACATTGAGCAGGGGGTCCCACAAGGTTGCACGCTGTCCCCAACATTGTTCCAGGTGTTCATCAACGATCTGTTGGAAGTCGTAGAGGCAGTCCGGAAGGGAGTAAAAGTAGGGGACACGGAAACGTCGGTTTCAGGAATGCTGTTTGCGGATGATTTTGTCGGTATGTCGGACACCCCTGAGGGACTGCAACTGCAAATTGACGCGGCGAAGAAGTTTACTGATAAGTGGAGATTGTCTGCCAACGTTCAGAAGAGTGCCGTCATGGTATGCAACGAGAACAAGGAGGAACCAGTAGAACATAGATGGAAGTGGGGGATCGAGGAGATTGCAGTAGTGGACCAGTACACATACCTTGGAGTAGAGATCGCAAAAGACTGCTCGTGGAATGCACACATGTCCAAGGTAGCGGAAAAGGGCAAAGCACGAGCAGGGAAGCTGCACCCAATACTCGCAAACCGGCACCTCGATACACGCATCAAATTGACGGTTTTGAAGAGCGCAATCGTACCGCCGCTAGAGTACGCCGGAGAAGCATGGAAAGGAAAGATGAAGGTAGTGAAAGAACTCGAGGCGGCGCAGATGAAAGCAGCGAAAGTCATCCTAGGATGCTCCAAGCGCACAAGTAGTGCAGCCGTGACGGCAGAATTGGGAACCCAATCCCTACGGTCGGGAAGAGACGCGAGGAAGCTGACCTGGCAGTATCGCATGTGCGGGATGGGAGAGGAGAGGTTGCCGAGAATTGTATGGGAGGCGAAGTGGGACAAACAAAAAGAGGATAGACAACCCACGGAATGGGTCAAGGTTGCAGAGGACATATGGAAGGGGCTCGACATCGACGAAGATGAAACGCTGGAAACGGAGGGTCTACAGGGGTTCAAGGAGAAGATATATGTTGCTTGTGCCGAGAGAGAAGAACA